TATATATATATATATATATATATATATATATCCTTTGATGTATACATTAAGGAATCATAAGGTTAGCATTATGGTCCCTTTCTACTGAATGTACTAGACTCGACTGTTCTGTTTGTCGTTTGTAAAATGTAAGTTTTCCCTAGTTTATAACTATCTTAACTCGAAAATAGTTTGCATTTGACTTTCAAGTGGTACTGTCACTTTATGAAAGTAATGGGAAATGTAAGTACACAGTTGTTGTTTAAAATGACATACGGATGTACTGATGACCTTAAAACATGTTTGTTTTATACTGGTCGTAATGTGAAGGCTAGCACCCCTACTATACGCTCTCCCTGTCAAGAGATTAAGGGAGCCAAACGCGACCTCTGCAATCAATTGCAAGCCGTGTATTTCACATTAAAGTTATATGATCATGTATACCCAATATAACTATCACCTTTTGTTTAGAACAATGAGTTAGTGATTCATTGGTATAATTAGATCCTGTAGTAGTTCCATGCTATAGCATCTTAGTATGTTCGTTCTGTTTGTTTCTCATCATAGTATGTTCTCTTGTATAATGTATAGTATGTACTAGCTGTATTGTATGTTCTCTCTGTCTAGTATGTATGTATGTTCTGTTTGTTTCTCATCATAGTATGTTCTACTCATGTATGAACTGACTCTTTGTATGCTTCATTGTACTAGAAGTAATGAATAGTATCTTCCTAAACTATACCTATTATAGTTTACTAACGTTTGTACTTGAACTGTTATTGAAAAGACTCATTTTACTACGAAGTTACGGTTGTACTTTAAAAACGAAGTTTGATTAACTATAAAGTAACATAACTTTAAAAGAGTTTTTGAAATGTTTTGATTTATTATAAAAGACATAAGCAACATTTTGAAAGATGTTTATAACAAACAATTACACAATTATCATTGTGTTCAACTTGTATTCCCCCCCTTAAAAGCATTTAAAACAGTTAAAAGATTCATTACGGGGTATGAACTCACCTGATGTGGGTGATTCAACGAATACGCGTGTAAGGATGAGAAGTTCCACGAATGAAGTCCCGAGACACAACAAGTCCTAAATGACATATATTGGCATGAATATAGTGTTTATAAGCAACTATATGAAAGGAAACACCTTCCGGGACTAGGAAACACTTTGACCAAGTGTTGGAATCACATATGATTCATCAAAGGAAAGTGAAATGACACTAACATGAGTTTACTACCATGGGTTTACGGCCCAAGGGAGTTTACGGCAGTAAACTCATGGTAAAACATGCATAAGTGTGGGTTTGAATGCTAGGGAAACTTTAGGGACTTTTGCTCTACACAAGGATGATAAAGACCATCATAAGGAAGGCTTTTGATAAGTTTACGGCCAAGCAAGGAGCTTACGGCCGTAAACTCATGGACATTATGAAGTGAGTGTGGTTTAAGGTCCTATACTCATCAATGAACGGTTCTAGGCCACAAGCTTTACACCTAGAAGGGTTTATGGTCCATACATGCTATAACATTGAGTTTACGGCCAAGGAAGATCTTGGGCCGTAAACTCAAGATGTTCTTGGGAAAATGTATGTTTCAAGGGTGTGATTCAAGGCTTCCTAGTAGATATGAAGTATAATGAAGGAATACTTACGATATGGAGGCTTGAAAGGGTTGATTTTGGCCAAAAACACTAGTGTGTGTTCTTGGTGTTTCTTGAAGATCTAAGAAAACATGATTTCCATGGATGAATCATGAGGATGAAGCTAGTTAAGAAGGATTAACAACAAACTAGAGAAAGAACACTTACACTTTTGAAGATCTAAGATGAAAAGTTGGATGATACTTGAGAGAGAATGGGACTTTCTTGACTTGGAAATGAGAATAATGAAGAATATGAAGGATATGAGTCTAAAAGGGGGAGTTTACGGCCCACCTTGAGTTTACGGCCGTAAACTCAAGTGTTGTGGCCGTGAACTCTAAATGAAGGGGTTAAGGCTTGATTTGTTGTACAGTGTCTCTAGCAGGTTCATTCTAACACTCATTCCTTAAGTGTACTAGGCTTAAAACTCCTTAGAATGACCTTTATCGAGGCTAGAACTCATTACCAATGAGTGTGACACTCACTTGGGTTGACTGACTGAGCTTTCAAAGCAAAAAATTTTCGGGTTGTCACAATATTGGTACAATGAGAAAATGCCATAAAACTCTAGGTTGGATGTGCCTATAAATAATTTTCTGATTTCCGTTGCGTAGATTTATGTTTTATTGTAACCCAGAAACCCCATAAGTGGTATTAGAGTTTAGGATTTTCTATTATATGCGCATTGGTGAAAATCTATAAAAACTAGAAAAATGAGAAAATCTTATGATTCGTAGGCCTGCCACGCCCTGGCCTCCGATAAATCTCAGATTTTGTTGCCTTTTTCGATTTGATAAGATAATTACTAGATCTTATTAGTTATTTTAATTGCTTAAAATCTAAACCTTTAAACTAGGTAATTGGATTAATCATAAATTCGAAATTGAAGGAATATAATCAATATGATTTAATTAAATGTTTAATTAAGATAATTGTCCAATTCTAAAAGATTTAATATGATTAATTAAAATTTTAAGATAATTATTTAATCTTAAATAGTTAAATATTAATTAATTAATTTTTAATTGAATTAATAAGATTTAAACATTGTATTCTTAAAAGGTTTAAAATATATCCTTACATATAATTATAAGAGTATATAATAGTATGTGTAAAACAATAATAATTTGTCAGTCGAATCAAGACTATGCCTCATTTTATGAAGTCATGCTATAACAGAGGTATAAAGAAACGACCTATAAAATGACCGATAAATGAGTATATTTTTCACTCACCTCTTTTTATGTGGTGAATTGTCGTTAGCTGAAAGGGTTTTAACATGACATAAATCTTGTTAAAAGTATAACATAAAACACTAGAACATAAAAAAAATCCCACTATAGTTATTTATGAAAAATATGAACTTGTATGCTAATCCATAGATACACACAATTTATTAAATTGTATGAGTCGTCAGTGGAGCATGTGTGGATTTACGAAACACATCTAACTCGGAGGGTTGGACAACTAGCAAAATGTGACATATTGAAAAAAACATTAACAAAGTGATGGTCTATTTTACAAAATTACAAAAAATGAAAAAAAGGTAACTTTGGATGTGTTTCTTATGCAAATAGTCATGCATAATCTAAGCAGTTATCGCAGTCGAAATTTCAATAGAGGTCACATGCCGCTATTTGAAATCGCGGTTATCACGGTGGTATAGCGGTTTTTTGATATTATGTGTAATTTATATTATATATTTATACAAAGTTTATATATATTAGAGTATTAATACTATATAAAATTCATATTATAAAAAGTCATATAAGAACATCACATAAACCATATATATAATATTCTAATATAATAATATAGAAACTAAAAAGTGTCAAAATGTCATTGCAACTCAAGTCGTTTGTGGTTTTTAAGTACAAAAAGAGACTAGAAAGAGAAGTTGTCATTTGTTGCTTTGTAGTTTATAATTAATTAGATTTATTATTTGGACTTATTAAAACAAAAGTGTAGTGGACAAATTAAAAAAAATACAGATTTAATATTGAAATAACCCACAATCGGTTTTTCTTTGTAAAAGTAGCCTAATGTGTGTGAAATTGTAAAAACGGGTGTAACGTCGCTATAACGCTGATGAGATTCGCGGTAAATAACGGTCAATAGCGTCAATAATAGCGTCACCGCTATTCGTAAACGCTATTTCAAAATAGCGATTCAGTAATACCACAAAACTCTATAACGCTACTATAGCACCGTTATAGCGCGCTATTGATAGCAGAGTGCAAGATTCTATCAGAGAGAAACACAATGCATTCCAAATCATAGCTTCACAAAGAGGTGGCGACGTAGAAGCTAGGAGTGTTCGCGGTTCGGTTTGAAACCGTGAAACCGGCCAAACCGATCATCAGTTTGGTTTTACGGTTTGTATTTTTCTTTACGGTTTGGCTTGCGGTTTCGAACTTTTCAAACCGTATTGAACGGTTTGGCTTCCGGTTTTTAAGATTTCAAACCGTATAAAAACCGGACCGGACCGTAGGATTTGTATATATATTAATTAATTTTTTTTATATGTAATTATATTTTATTGTATTATATATTAATTTTTATATACAAATAATAAACATTAAATCCCACAATATGCATTATTACAGCCCAATTATAGTTTCTTTTGTGATCCGGTAATTAGTAAATGAAGCCCAAATTGATAGTCCAGTAGTCCACCTCTCGCTCCAAGCAATCGTGAATTCGTGATTCACTGATTCGTTTCAGACTTTCAGCTTGCCCTAATCGAGTAATCGCAAATCGCAAAGACGCAAAGGCTCGGTTTCCAGTTGCCACACCACTCGTTTTCCTTCTGACTACAGCTCGTCACCTCCCCTGCAACAGCTCCGATTCTAGCTCCGTTTGGCGTTTGTCCGAGTGTCCGACAGTCCGACTACACCTCTTGTTTGCTATTTTGACAACTTTAATATTGCAGTATTTTTAACAAACCGTTAATAGTGCAGTTTTTTTACTAAATTAGGCAGAATTTTGACTGTTTTAATACCTTAAATAGTGCAGTTTTTTTAATACCTTTAATAGTGCAGTTTTTTTATTGTTTTAATACCTCTAATATTGCAGCTTCAATATTAGACAAAATTTTTACTGTTTTAATACATGTAATAGTGCAGTTTTTATACTAAATTACTTTAATGAACTCAACTAAAGTGGGCCTAAAAAGCCCAAAACCGTGAAACCAAACCGGAGCCAAACCGTTAGTAACGGTTTGGTTTGGTTCGATTTTAAATTTTCAACGGTTCGGCTTCGGTTTTTACTTGACAAAAACCATTAGTAACGGTTTGGCTTCGGCTTGACCTAAAAGCCGAAAAAACCGGACTATGAACACCTGTAGTAGAAGCCACAGAAATTCTAAGATATGGAGAGCACGAAAATGTGAGGACTTATTTTAAATAAGTGCGAAAAATGAAGGGTCGTCTTTTAAAATAACATAAGAATGTAGTATTAGTTTCGCTTATTTACTAAACAGACCCTCCTTAAATATTGGGGGAAAATAGAAGGCTACTGAAACTGGCCCTAGAAGCTTCCAGGTTTGCAAATCAATTTGATTCCTGCAATTAGGGTTTTTTTAGGGTTTACCATAGTTCCCCTTCATACACGAAAATACTTCGAATTTCAATCTAGTTTCCACAAATTTACAGACAACAAATGTTTCGTTCCAACGGCATTAAACTTTTGTCATGGCTTGCTCGCCGCTCCCTCTCCAACGATCCCGTATGAATTCTGTTTCTCTATCACATGATTATGCATGACAATCATTTTCGGCGTATTTATTTAATATGTTAAGTCGGTCGTCTGTGTGTTTGTTTTTAAATATTCTTAATCATGGATGTTATGTGATTGTGATTCAGTTGTATGAGTCGCTGGCTAGAAGAGGTTATAGGAAGTTTGGCTCATCAATTCATGGCCATTACAAGATTTTCAATTGTTACAATAACAAAAATGGTAAATCTCACGATAAAACAAGTTTCTTTCTTCTTTTTTTTTCCTCTGCAAAGTTATCTTTTTGGAGCTTCTGTGTTGTATATATCACTGATGGAGGGCCGGTTTTTTCTTGTAGTAGTCAATTCGAGATATTGGTCAGGTCTTGGGACGATTAATGCACACTATGGCAACATCAGATCGATTCATGGCACTTGTATGTCCCTATTCCTCTGCTTTTTGTTAGTGTTTGAATTTAGATGATTTTCTTTCTATCCACCATAGTTGTTCATTTGTTTATCTTGAATTTAAAATCCCATACAAACTGTTCTTATTTGATGATGAAAGCAGTGGATAGCTTTCTTTTAGTTTGTGTCAAATTCTGGCTATGTATCAAATTGTGAACCTTTTTTTGCTGGTAATGTTCGGTCGACATAGACTTATAGTATGGCCCAATAAATTGTAACAAGGAATATATAGGTTAAGTTTGCTCTGGCTGTCTCATCAGTACTAAGTAGAGAAACGAGATAGAAAACATGAAAATATGAGGAAGAGAGAGGTGAGAGTTTAGAGACAGAAGGAAACTGTATATTCATGCCAAAAAACAGGATACAACAGCTCTTTTGGAAAATTCAATTTTTTTTTAACAATTCTGAGATAAACATAGTAACTAAGAACCTTACTACTCCAGTACACCCTAATTTTAAGCTTGGACTCCTTCCTATATGAGGTCAGGTCCTTAGAAAGAAATATGATATCACCCCAAATAATAATTAGTATTTTGGGTGACCTCAAAACTTTTTACAGTAGAAAGTTTTTTGTCCCAAACAACTTTTTAACTTTACTAAATGTAAAATCATTCAATTAGAGGCCAATTTTTTTATCCTAGGTAGATGCATGAAAATCACAAAACTAATGGAATTTAAAGGGTAGATCAATGCAAGACCATAAACATTAAAGAACAAAGAAAGTCACAATCCTCAAATTGGTTCAAAGTATTTCACAAGCAAAAAACAAATCCCCGAATTAGAAAAAGGAACATTTAAAGCAATACAAATGCCAAGAAGTAGATGAAACATGAATTAAATTTTTTGAGAAAATTGAAACAATGATTCGATTAATTACAAAATTACAATCAATCAACACCAAACTGGATACCTATAAAATATGCTCAATTTATTAAAAACAACCGAGAAAATCCCCCTTATCTGAAAAGATGTTAAAGATTGGCTAACCCACAACTAAATGTCTCTAAATTCAAAATTAACTTGTTTTTCTGGTTTAAAGACTCACTGGTCCCCATTTCACTTGACACTTGTCATCATTTAAAACCTTCTGATGCAAATTAACCCTTGTAATTCACAACTAAACAATTACTCAGGATCGAAGATTTAATTAATGGCTGAGTGATTATCTCAATAATTTGAAGAAGAATAACTCTGGAAAAAGGAAAACAGAAATTGATATAGAGAAGGCATATTCAATTGTGATTTCATTTCATATTCAGCTATCATGTCACCTTTTTGAAATGTTCTATAAGAATCTTCTACTAGCTTCCTGGTATCACTCACCCTAACATGTGTGAAATGATGTCAATAAAGAAAAAAAAAGTAATTGGAAAATATTGGTTGTTGTGTCGTCAGGTATGCATCAGTGTCTTATTGAGGGAGGACCTGTGGAAAATTGTCATATATTTATTTATTGGAATGGCCTTAAACTTGTTATGGTTTAAAGGTCTAAATAATGCAGATTGCAGGATCTAATTGACAAACCACACTATTCTTTCAAAAACACAAAGGTCTCTTTATATCTACTAAGGAGAGTTAATGATGGTGCTCTAATTTTGTTTATAAATTTTATTGAAAGGATTGATTAATTAAAGCATGCAAACCAGTGTTTTATGGGCTAAACTCAACCCATGGTTTCATAAACATTTTATACACTCTGTGCAAGATTTTGAACATTTTGTAGCTTGCTTGACCTTTGGAGGTTGTTATGTTGAGCAGCAGCACGCATGGCTTCAAAAGATTATTATGATACACTTGGAGTCAATAAGAACGCAACCGCATCAGAAATCAAGAAAGCCTATTATGGGGTTCCTATCTTTATCTTTTCTCTTCTTTTTAATTCTTATCTATACAAATACAAATCTTTTTTACATGAATGGACATTGTCCTTGTGTTACTTTGTAGTATTAACTTATTATCCTGTGGAATTTGTAGCTAGCCAAGAAGTGGCATCCAGATGCAAATAAAGATGATCCAGAAGCAGAAACAAGGTTTCAAGAAGTATCAAAGGCATATGAGGTACACTAACTAACTAACTACTAAGATGCATGTCTATTTGAACTGTTGTTTTAGGTTATTGCTGTATAATAGTTGGTTGAACAAACTGTTTTGCTATCTTAATTCTTAAACAAACAGGTCCTGAAAGATGAGGAGAAACGAGCACAATATGATCAGGTATTATATTGTTAAATAATTTGTTTATCTATTATTATCTTTTTCTAATTTCTAGTTGGATGGATTCATGTATATAATATTATATTATTAGCTTGGACACGAGACTTTTGAAGCAAGTGCTAGTGGTGGAGCTGGTCCCGATGCTGGCCATTGGCGCAATCCATTTCAAGACCTCGGTGATGTCAGTTTTTATTTTATACCCAATTTCTGTCAAATGACTTTTCTACCCTTCTTCTTTGTTTATATAATATAATATAACTTTTAATTTTTCTCTTTGCATGTTGATGTTGGTGGATTCAGATTTTTGGGTTTGGCCCATTTGCTCGCAACTTCACTGGCAAGGACGTTAAGGTCTTTTCCTTTTTTTAATTTTATTTCAATTTTTTTTTTTAAAATAAATATATGATGTGATGTCTTAAATTTTGTTTGATCATGTCATGACATGCACAGGTATCCCTTGAGCTTTCATTCATGGAAGCTGTTCAAGGATGCACCAAAAATGTTGTCTTTCAGACCGAGTTGCCTTGTGAAACTTGTGGTATGACTACAAATATCATACATTTTTTTTTTGTATGAATTAATCGTCTTTTTATATTTTATATTTTTTGGTGAATGGTGAATGGTGATTGGCAGGTGGAAGTGGTGTTCCTCCTGGAACAAAGCCAGAGACATGTAGGAGGTGTAAAGGAGCAGGCATGGTGGGTATAAAATATAAATATTTTTGGTTTTGTTTTTATTTATTAATTTTAATCCAGGTGGCTGCTAACATGTCATGTGGTTTTGCAGACATTCAGTCAAACTGGTCCATTTAGAATCCAGGTGACTTGTACTCAATGTGGCGGAAGTGGTAAATATGTCAAGGTATGTGATGTGGGTAAATTTGTCATTTTGCTCTACACTCTAACTCTACTTCGTTTCTGAATTATTATTATTATTATTTTTTTGTTTTGTTGAGTGACAGAACTTATGCAAGTCATGCAATGGGCAGAGGGTGGTGAGAGGACCCAAGTCTGTGAAGTTAAACATAATGCCAGGTTTTTTGTGGTTTATATAATAAATTATAATAATTCTGCTACTAAAAAGGATGAATGTGTTATAATATATGTTTGGTTGGAATATTTATATTTTTAGGAGTGGATACAAATGAAGAATTAAGGATGTCTAGAAGTGGTGGAGCAGATCCAGATGGCAACCAGCCTGGCGATCTTTATGTTGTTATCAAGGTATTTTTTTTTTTTAATTATATATGTGTGTATAATACAAATAAAAATTAGAATGCCTTAAGTTTGAAATAATATTTTATTTTATGAATTACTGTAATATGATAACTTTTTAGGTGCGAGAAGATCCTGTATTTCGACGAGAAGGACCAAACATTCATGTAGATGCTCTCCTGAATATCACCCAGGTAATTTATTTATTTATATTATTATTATGTTTTGTAAAAATCACCATCTTATGCTATTAATTAACTCTATTCCATGATGAGTGTTTTAAAATAAAAAAAATTTAAATTGTTTTGCAGGCCGTTTTGGGAGGGACGATTCAGGTGCCAACATTAACAGGAGATGTTGTTCTTAAGGTTATTTCTATGATTTTTTTTTAAATCATTAGTTAATATTTTCATAATGACATACTTTATATAAATTATGAAATAAATTTTGATTTTCTTATATGCATGCAGGTTCGTGCAGGAACTCAACCTGGTCAAAAAGTAGTTTTAAAAGGAAAAGGTATAATACATTTTCACTGTTATATATTATTAAGGAAATATTTATGTTTTTGATTTGATATTGATTGTGTTTGTGTATGATCTATGATGTCAGGAATTAAAACGAGAAATTCTTACTCATATGGAGATCAATATGTACACTTCAACATCAGCATCCCAACGTATGTATATTGTATATTGTAGATTGTAGATTGTATTGAAAAAGGAAAAAGAAAAAGGTTAATAATTATTGTTGGTTGCAGGAACTTGAGCGAAAGACAGCGTGAACTGATTGAGGAGTTTGCAAAAGAAGAGCAAGCTGCTGAATATGAGAAAGGGGCTGCAGCTGGAGCTGCTGGAGCCTCTTGATAGATTGATTCATTCCAGAGTTTGTTTTTTTAAATTATCTTTCTCTCAAGCCTACTGCCTACTACAAAGTTTTGATGGGAAAATGTATTGTTGTATATATTTATTATTATTATAATTATAATTATTATTATTATTATTATAAGCTAATCTTTTTAGCATTTGAATCATAAATCAACCTGTGACTGTTGTGGTCCTGGATTATGACTCAATTTGTGTGTATCCATGGATGTCTGTACTATATATAGACTATGGAGCAAGTTTTGTGTTAACAAAGACTGTAATGCATGCCTAAAAGAACAGTCTTAATGAGAGCAAGTGATGATTTTACTCTTTTCTAGAAAGTAGAAAGATCAAACTTCAAACGACCCAATAAAATTTGCTTCACGAAAATACCTAGTCTCAAACCATATATGGGATTGATGTGCCCACGAGTGTGGGATTAATTTATGAGAAGAGGGCGAATGGAATAGGTGAAAGAGACACCTGTCTTATGTTAAATTAATGAATGGTTTTTAGTATCATATATTTATGCTTAAAATTAGTATATTAGAAATCTTTTCGTGAGTCTTGTTCTCATGGTTTATAATGTTGTTTTAAGCTCTCTTATATATCTAACATGTAAGACAAAGTAAATATGATGTATATCTAACAATCATATTTTGTTTATCACTCAAGGTAACAAATTATTTAAGATATGATATCAAATCTAAGGTAGTCAAAAGATGCTTTTTAATCTTCCATGATTGTTATAATATTGTCACACTGCTTTTCCTATTGTATTCGGTTACCCGAGTTTTATGTTCATAATATCCCTTCAAAATTTAATTAAGAATGAATATTTTCAAGACTTGTATAATTTATAGTTTCACAAAATAATAATAATAATAATAATAATAATAATAATAATAATAAAAGATGAAATAAGCTCTGGGGGCACGTATTTGATCATGACATATCAACTTAACAACTGTTTCCTTAAGCATGCCAATGGTGCTGTCTTAGAGGCTTAGGAATCGCATGAACCAACTGTGATCTCATCTACCCACACAATGGCATTCATCATACAACTATATCCTATATATACATCCGGATTCCATAAAATATTAAGTTACTTTTAACACAAATACACCATACATTACAAGTCTTAAAAACAATACCTCATAAAAGTCCATGGAAAATAAAGGAAAGATGATGGTGGCCCTTGTGGTGCTAGGACTGTTGGTTCAAGGAACAGTCGCACACCCATGTGGAAGCACATTTTTCTCAGCTTTGGTGCAACTGATACCGTGTCGTGCATCAGTCGCACCATTCAGCCCCATCCCACCAAATGAGGCTTGTTGTACCGCAGTCAAAGTTCTTGGCCAACCTTGTTTGTGTGTTCTTGTCAACGGTCCTCCTATTTCTGGTGTTGATCGTAGCATGGCCATGCAACTTCCCGAAAAATGCAGTGTCAACTTTGAACCATGTATACAAAATTCATACATGGACAATTTAATATGTTTTTATACTATATTAGATGTGAAATTTGCGGTTAATAATATGATATTGCATGTGTGGTGCAGGTGAACTTGCGAAAAAGAAAGAGTGAATTAGTGAGCATAGAGTGGGAGCTATCATTCGATTCAAAAAAATCCAAGAGAATAAAGTAGTGTCGGAATGTGTGAAATAATTCCACGAGTTCAAATTTAAGGTGTTATATTAATCGTTGGTTTTCATGTTTTGTCGGTTGATCGTAGTTCTTTAATGTTTCTGTAATAGATTTCACACGTTAATGTTATATTATTATAGATACTAATGAATTTTTTTGTGTTTCAAGTTTCAAGTCTATGAAAAATGGTGTGGGTAGAGGTGCAAAAACCGGATAGTATTTTTCAAAAATTCCAAAACCGGGTAGATGTAAGTTCATTTGAAAAAGAAAATTATGATACATTTATTCATTTCTGCTTCAGTGCCCTGGCACGGTGAATAAATATAATATTCATATGTGAATATATAATTAAATATATTCATATATGAAAATTACATACCAACGCCACCACCTCCCTCTCATCTGCCAACTATTTCTTATTTTAGTTCTATATATAATAAACTTTGTTTAAAAATGATAAATTAGATAATGGTCTTTATAAAACATTTAAAATAGATTAGGACAATTGTTAATTTAAAAAACAAAAATTTAACAAAAATATGAAAGGATTAGTCATTGGAAAATATTTGTTACATAAGTTTTCTTTAAATATAGGTTAGAGAAAGTTGATATGATAAAATTAATAATATTGAAAAGTTGTACCATTGAAGATGTATTTAGGATGGGGAATGGAACCTCTCATCCTTTCCAAACCATGATGTCATTAGGAAAGATATAAGATTTTCTCTCTCCCAACCTTAAAGACATGGAAATGAAATCCTCCCTTCAAAATCTTTTGGTATGAATATTAAGGCTTATGATACAAGTCGATAAGAGAGAAAACAAAGAGGGAGCATCGGCTTGGAGAACCCACTGCATGTTTAATTTTGGGGGTACATGAGAGGTGGGACGGTGAACCGTAGGTACTAAGGGAAACCCAAAGGCCACCTCATTTACATTACGTCCATCCTTATAATATAACTAGACAAATTCCCGCGCGTTGCACAATGTAGGTTAAAAAATATATTGTTAAAATGTTGAAAAATATATGTTTAAAATGGTTATGTTATTGACATTACCTTTGACATAATATTTTGAACAATATTATTCATTGACATCAACCCACTTTCCTCATTAATAAAATTAAATATAATTATCTATTTAATATTATTTTTAACAATTGTTATGATTGATTAATTTAAATTTTACTTATGCAATTATTTTCTAATTTCAATAATGATATTCATTTAAAATATAATTTATTTGTTGTTAACGTTATGTAATTTATAAATTGATGTTATTATCATTTAAAATTATTGTTCTTTAGTTTTAAACCACTTATTATTATTAATAAGTTAAAGAAGACTTTTAAGAAACACTTAATATTACTATTAAAATGTGAAACATACACTAAATAACAAACTAATAAGATAGACAATTTGCATTTCAAAAGAGACTTACATGGATAATATGACATATCCATGATTTTTATAATTTGATTTTATTATTTATAATTATTGTTCATTAGTTTTAAAACCACTTATTATTATTAATAAACGAAAGAAAACTTTTAAAAGACACTTATTATTATAATTAAAATGTTAAACATATACTAAAATATAAAGTGATAAGATAGACAATTTTGCATTTTAAAAGAGACTTACATGGATACTATGGATAATATTGTATATCCATGATTTTTAATTAATTATTACTTTAAAGCAACACACACATACAAACATATATACAATATTTAATTAAATATTATCTATATCACTTTCTATAACATATGATCGATAACATGAATCTAATCTAATTTACATTAAAGTTTCAACCACAACATACAATGATTGTCTTAAAAGAATACTTAAACCAAGAAAAATATAAAAAAAGAATTGTATATAACAAACTTACAAATTAAAAACTTTAACATACTAATATGGCTCGAAAAATGGTCCAAAGCCCTCAAACCAACACAAAACCTTTAAACTTGTTTTCTTTGTGAATTTTGTATGTGATTTGTATTTGTATGTCTACTCAAAGAGAATGACATTTTTATAGTAGACTATCCATTAATTGCTTATTAAACATATTATATAAATTATAAAACCTTTCATGATGTGTGATTAATTACTTTGAAGGTGAAAATGTGTGGGGGTTTCAAATGTATTAGGTGCTTGGAAATTTGTGTGGGGGTTTCAAATGCATGAGGTGATAGGAAAAATGCCTCCTTTATAAGTATAGTATGATATAGACTAGGCGAATGCTCGCGCGTTGCGTAGAAACACTTATATAGTTGAAATCTTTATAAATATATGTTTTTTTTTAAATATAACAATAACGTTGTTGTTAAATTTGATATAATAATTCGTATACTAAATTGATATAATATATTGATTATTTTGAATTATATGATAATATATACATCTATTATAAGTGCATAAAATTAAATATAATATATGGTTTAATGTTATTTATAGTTGTTATTATTGTTAAATTATTTTTTTAAATTTATTTGCTTAACGTTTTAATTTCTATCATTATACTTATTTAAAATATTAAACACTGTTTTTTGATTTTAAAGGTAACAATATAATCATTTATATACAATTATTTTTAACTATTGTTATTGTAAATTATTTTAAGCTACTTATTTGAAAACTTTTAACGATTATAAAAATATCTTTAGGAAATATTTTAGTTAAATTGAGATTACAATTTAGTTTTTGCATTTAGCACTACAATTTATCATTTTTAACTATTCACAAAATATTCTTTGGGTTTTTCTTTTAGTGGAACTAAAATTTAAATTTAAGTTGACACTCTAATGTTATATTAAATTAACAATTTAAGTATTTTCTCAAAACTGTTCAAAAGTTGTAGCTTTAAACTAATAATGGTTTACATACAACAACATATTAAATCTAATAAATTATGTATAATATGTTAAAAGTTAAAGACATAACTTTATAAGTAAAAGTAAAAATATTATTTTAATTTTGAAATTTAATTTATTTATGATTACACTTTAGGTTTGATATTTATTTAACCTTATTAAACAACCTATAATCATTATTAGAAAGACGTTACAATTTATCACTTTTAATAATTTACAAAATATTCTTTAGGTTGTTAATTAAGTTAAACTAAAACTTATATTTAAGTTGACCCTGTAATGTTATATTTACATTAATAATTTAAGTATTTTATACAAATTTTTCAAAAGTTGTAGCTTTAAAATGATAATGATTTACATCCAACAATATATTAAGTATAATATGTTAAAAGTTAAAAAACATAACTTTATAAGTAGAACTGTAGAAGTAAAGATATTCTTTTAATATTAAAATTTAGTTTATATATGATTACACTTTAGGTTTGATATTTATTTAACCTTATTAACCAACTTATAATCATTATTAGAAAGAAATTGAAAAATCATAGCAGTTTCAAATGAATGTGGTGAAAGGAAAAATATATGAGAGTTTTAAATGAATGTGGTGAAAGAAAAAATGTTTCATTTATATATATATATATATATATATATATATATATATATATATATATATATATATATATATATATATATATATATATATATATTTGGAATTAGGCTTTACATATCTTAAAAGAAATTAATGGTTTTCAGAATCATCGTCTTTCCCATCCCCGCTGATAGAACATATCGAAAACAAAGAGTGGAAGTCTTGAAACCATTCAGTTTTTCATTTTTAAATGAGTTATTTATGTATACAACATTATATTAAATATTACATTTGCCGGTCGTGAACAATTAATATCTCACAATTCTTGTGTTGAAGATAGTGGTCGGTTGGACTATTTTTTGCCGTTAAAACACATATTCGCCGGTCCGTTGGAGATCGTCTTAGGTGCTGTTTATTTTTTCGAAGAGAAATTTCATTAAGTCTGCGGACCACCTCTGCAATTCTCTGTAGCAGAAGAGGTGGAACAAACGGCTGCAGCCTGTAATAAGAAGCGTGTTTGTTTTTTAACATCTGCAGACTGCTGCAGTAAACTGAATTTTAAATAAACTAATTTTATAAACTGAAAATAGTTTTCAACACCCGAAATTTTAATAATTTTAGTCTTAAAACATTGAAAGAATACTAAAAAGAACATGTAAAAAAACAAAAATATAAAACTTTTTAAAAAAAACTTTAAAAAATATAAAAGAAGCTAACATTATTCTAGAAAAAAACTAATTGTAAAAAACATAAAAAAAGAAAATAAAAAAAAAATTAAGAAAGTATTGCAAACGATGTTTACAAAATTCGTAAAAAATTACACACGTTAAAAAAGATACAACTAAAACTAAAAATATTATTAATAGAAAAGGTAAAAAAATTAAAAAAATCAAAGTTTTTTTTTTAAATCAAGTTTAAAAAATTTGTGGGAAACTATAAAAAGAAATTGTATCAAATCCGTAAATAAAAGTTTAAAAAAATCAAAGATTAAAAAAAAATAAGTTATACCAAAATTCTAAAAAAAACACTTGGAAAAAAATGAAGGCTAAAGAGGTTTGAAGAGGCAAGTCAAGTGCTGCGCCCGCAGCACACGCGCAGAGGTTTTGTAGTCTGAAGCCTTCCAAAAAACAAACTGCTGCGAGAGGGAAAGTGCTGCGCGTGTGTTGCGCCGCGCAGCAAAAAGTGGTTTGAAGAAGTTTTTTTAAAAAAACAAACAACACCTTAGTAACTACCAAATGCGCCAATTCTTTTACATGATTATCAATTTTTAATATAAATAACTCGGGTATTTTTATATAAACCAAACAAATTTGAAGTTTTGTCACTAACAAAATGTGATTTATACTTAATTAGATTATGAGAGAACGTATAAAATATAGAATCATAAAACACCGACACAATAATTAAAAGAAAAAAAAGATAAAGTAACAGAAACAAAATTCACGTTATTGATTATATTAAAAATCTAAAAATTAAAATGAAATGTCGGTATATCTTTAATCGTTAAAAGACCTCTTTGTAGACAACATTTTTTTGTTTTATTAGTTGGATGACCTTCTTCGTCACATATTATTACCTTCACGATTTTTTTACTTGTGACGTGCGAAACAACTATATATAACTGACCATGAGTGAAGATGGGTCTATGAAAGTACAATCCAACATTTGATAATGACT